AATGTTTCACATGACCACATACACATGATTTAAACTACCCAGTCTATGATATTTTTTTATAGCTGCCTGAACAGATTAAACCACAAGCTTAGACTTCCCTTGCGTAATAAGCTCTCACTGAACTCATTGAACTGTGATGCCGTTGCTTCTTGATTTTCACTCTCCACTTAAGTGTGAGGCCTGGATATATAAACTACATGGGTAACTTACTCACCACCTATTATCTAAATCACCAGGCTTTGTGCCTGTAAAATAATGTTAAATAAACAGTTTATAAATAAGTAATCAAATGAAGCATGGAATTATCATTGTGAAAGTGTGTGTTAATGACGCAGAAGTAGTTAGGGGACAATTAGGAGGGACATTTGAGGAGATTCTTCTCTATGAATTTAAAAAGCTGATGACCTGAGAATTCAAGTCAACCCATGTTGAATGATATCTTTATTAGGGACCTCAGTATCTCCTAAGATAAACGGGTGGATTTGAATTTCAAGGTTACCGTTAATGTTATCAGCTCCAATAAGACACATGTGTCATCTTTCAAGAAACACAATAAACTCTGAAAAATTTACATTTCCTCTTTCTCTGTTTCTGATTTAGTAGTTACTTAACAGGCACCCCACTCCGAGACACCCATAGCAGTTTTCAGAATGAGGTTTTTTGTTTGCTATTTACAACAAGATGGACTGGGCAGGTGATACTTTTATGTCTACTCTGGTTGCTGGGAGAGATGAGAAGATACATATATTTCTTAAAAGAACAAACAAAAACCTTTGCAAGGCTTTTATAGCTAGCATTTAAGGATCAACTAGAGGCAATCTGCGAACATGGTTTACTCCTCCTGAAGTTTTTTGGCAGAGCTTTGCTGTATGAGAACCAGCATAACCCCAAAGTTCATTGAGATACCTGTCCAGGCAGCCTAGTGATGTTTAAGTCTTCACTAGTGAGATTATTTTTCAAGTCTGTAATTAAGGAACATAGGTTCAACATCAAGAAGAGAGTTGCCAGAAGTTGTAAATACTTAATCTTGGTAATGTAACGCCTTACTTCTGATTCTGACCTAAAGACTTCATTTATCACCATCTATATATTTGAGTTCAATTACTGGGTCGGAAAGATCCCCTGGNGCCGCAAAGAGTCAGACATGACTGAGCGACCTCACTTCACTCACTTCTTACTTTATCATTGGAGAAGGAAATGGCAACCCACTCCAGTATTCTTGCCTAGAGAAGTCCATGGACAGAGGAGCCTGGCTGGCTATGGTCCATAGGGTCGCACAAAGTCAAAAACAACTGAAGAGTCTTAGCACTCATGCAGACTCCTGCCACACCTTCCATTCACCACCAAAGGTCAGAAACAATTTGGAAGAAACATCTGAGGACCTAAAGTGGCCATCTTAAAAATAATTTAAAACTACCATATTCATTGATAATGAAAAATCATTCAGTGTTGGAAGAAGGATACTGGATCCCCATGATAGACAGTGTCTGCTGCTGCTGCTAAGTCACCTCAGTCGTCTCCGACTCTGTGAGACCCCATAGACGGCAGCCCACCAGGTTCCTCTGTCCCTGGGATTCTCCAGGGAACAATACTGGAGTGGGTGGGTTGCCATTTCCTTCTCCAATGCATGCATCCATGCTATGTCGCTTCAGTCATGTCAGACTCTGTGCAAGCCTATGGACAGCAGCCCACCAGGCTTTTCCATCTACAGGATTCTCTAGGCAAGAATACTGGAGTGGATTGCCATTTCCTTCTCCAAGACAGTGTTTGCTGCTGCTGCTGCTGCTGCTGCTAAGTCGCTTCAGTCGTGTCCGCCTCTGTGCGACTCCGTAGACGGCAGCCCACCAGGCTCCCCTGTCCCTGGGATTCTCCAGGCAGTGTCTAGAAGACAGCAAAAGAGGTCACCGGTGCTGGTTTAAAAGATCCATAGATTCCCTTTCCTGTTAATGCAGTTGCTTTTTCTCTTCTTCATAAATAGCCAAAGACTCTAAATGTTAAATGTTTTCAAGCAAGCTTAATGAAGTTTGTAGATGGTAATCACTGGTGGCATGGGGTGGGGGATGGGGGGAATCGCAGGCTGCAGGGGAGGGAGGGGATATGGAGAAGTTGCTACGAAGTTTCAGTTTCCTGATGATTTTTTTAGCTTTCCAGAGACAAGAATTCAGAAAAGCAAAGCAGGAGGAGACCTATGGGCCAGGCAGTAGAGGGAATTATTTGAAGATCTGAGATGAGTTGAGTTTGTGGATATTTAAAAATATTATGTCTAATTTTCAACGTGTTTTAAAATTGCCATCATAAAATGCTTTTACTTTTACTTTTTTTTCCAAAAAGGAAGAGTTTAGAAAAAATATTTTTACTAAATAATGTTAAAGATAATAATCTGAAAAGAGAGGATAATGTAATAGGAAAAAACCATTTGAAACTTGAAGAGGGAAAAAACCTCCAATGATTCTCCTAACTGGATAGACTTGAAACATTTATGTAGACATACCCTATACTTCTTGAGCTCCAAAATCACTGCAGATGGTGACTGCAGCCATGAAATTAAAAGATGCTTGCTCCTTGGGAGAGAAGTTATAACTAACTTAGACAGCATATTAAAAAGCAGAGACATTACCTTACCAACAAAGGTCTGTCTAGTCAAAGCTATGGTTTTTCCAGTAGTCATGTATGGATGGGACAGTTGGATCTTAAAGAAAACTGAGCGCTGAAGAGTTGATGCTTTTGAACTGTGGTGTTGGAGAAGACTCTTGAGAACCCCTTGGACAGCAAGGAGATCAAACCAGTCAATCCTAAAGAAAATCAGTTCTGAATATTCATTGGAAGGACTGATGCTGAAGCTGAAGCTCCAATACTTTGGTCACCTGATGAGAAGAACCGACTCATTGGAAAAGACCCTGATGCTGGGCAAGATTGAAGGCAGGAGGAGAAGGAGACGACAGAGGATGAGATGGTTAGATGGCATCGCCAACTCGATGAATATGAGTTTGAGCAAGCTCCAGGAGTTGGTGATGGACAAGGAAGTCTGGCATGCTGCAATCCATGGGGTTGCAGAGTTAGACACTACTGAGCAGCTGAACTGAACCCTGTACTCTAATGTTGTATAAATATACTAAAATCACTGTGGAACTAGATTGTCCTTTGTATGAAGGAACCTGGCTTACTCAAGTATGAATGGCAGCATTGGAAGAAAATAATAAAGAACAAATTTGGAAACAAAATTGGTTACTGGTTAAAAAGATACATAGAGTTCAAAGTGTTAGTCACTCAGTTGTATCCGACTCTTTGAGACCCCACAGCCCTCCCAGCTCCTCCATCCGCAGGATTTCCAAAACAAGAATACTGGGGTGGGTTGTCATTCCCTTCTCCAGGGGATCTTCCGGCCCCAGGGATCGAACCGGGATTCTTTACCGTCTGAGCCTATAGAGAGTTCAAAACCCTTAGCCAATTAATTCTCCTAATTATGAACTGGTTGAAAACAAAAGCTCCTTCAAAGAGTCTGCTAAATGTCAAGAGAACAATATGTTGGATTGGTTAAAGCTGAGGAATAATCTTCAAAACATGTTCTAAGCAGTCCGCGACTTAAATGTAGGAACTTTCACACTAGAAGAGGGGAGGGAAATATGACACAGTTCATAGAAAATAGAGAGGAAGTTAGCCTTTATCAGGCCAAACTCGGAATACTGAGCAAATACTTGAAGAGTGCGTGACCCAAATGGAAATGCTAGGAAGCTTTCGAAAACACGCCCGGTTGCTTCTATCAAAAGCACACCCCCGACGAAGGTGGGATTCGAACCCACGCGTGCAAAGCACAATGGATTAGCAGTCCATCGCCTTAACCACTCGGCCACCTCGTCGTCGTATACGCCTTCCTTAGCGTGCTTTATTTCAGAGTTTATACTTGGGAACCGTCTACCCTAGATAGAATGATATTTAGGAAAGAGATGGTTTGGGGACGTCTGGAAGACGTGGAGGCGGTTGGCTTCCACGCGAATGGACAAAGCGCCGAATTGCAAAAGCTGCGACGGGGGGGTGAGGTGAGGGGGGNGAACGAATAAGAATAGGAAATAATTCTGACTAATCAGGTTGATCATAAATGCCTGGGGAAAGAAGGTAATATTGAAGGCGAGTCTTGACCAGCAAGTTTTCTAGTGGGCGCGAAGAATGTGGTTGTCGCAGGCTGAGAGGAAAGGGCCTGAGCAGAGGCAAGGAGGCGTGCAAAGCAATCATGACTCATCCTGTTGTCAGTTTTGATAGCAAAGGATAAAGGAGTTATATTCTTTTCACAAGGAAGAGCAGTATAATTAACAACAACAACAACAAATGTCAAAAATACATAGTGCTTTCTCAGAAAGTAGTGGTGAATCATTGGGAAAGTAATACACTAACTCAAGTATTTGAAATTATTAAAGAGGAATTTGAAACTTAAAACACTGAAAACATATACATAAACAGATTTATTAGATAGAGCAGAAGAGAGAATTAGGAAGCTGAAAGTAAGATTTGAGGGAACTATGTAAAATACTATCCACTGATACAAATAGTTGGAAGTGAAGGAAGAGGGATAATAAAGATTAAGGTTAGGAGAGAAATTCTACCATATATCTAATTAAAGTCTCAAAAGAAGTTATTAAGAAAATAGGAAAGAGTTAAGTGTCTCAAGTATGCCTGACACATGCTTTAACAATTATCAATATGTTGTCAAACTGGTTTTCCATATTATTGCAAAGTTTATCTCAGGCAGTGTATTATTTTGTATGTCCTTTCATTTGTTCAATAAGAATACTTACTAGAATATTTATTAGTGTTCATTTCAAAACTTCTAGAGTATAATTTGTTGAATAAATCATTTTCAATCAGCCAATTCTGCCACTGTTTTCAGAAACAACAGTGGGGAGAGGACAACAGTTTTTGTTTGTTTATGATGCTATTACCTATGTTTCTATTTATTTTCTACTGTCGTTAAAACTCTACAAAGCAGAAATGATTCTAGATTTAACTGTTTAAAATAATATGGTTGGTGCTTAAAACAAGAAGCAAAATTATTCAGTGAATTTCTACAAAAGTGCAAGTCTTGAGTAGCATAAGCTTGCAAGTTCAAGACTACTACCTTCCTAACAGTCTGCTCTATCACTCTCTTCTCCAGCATTTAAATATCAAGATTCAGTCTATAATTGCTCCTCATCGCTTTCACTTGTCTCTTCTTTCCTCTTTAGGTATCCAATACTAGGCTTCTCATGGTGATTCAGCTCTCAAATACCTCGAACTGAGTTATCTCATTCTCTGGCCATGCCCCCTAGATGTCAGAAGTCTTCTGCTTGAGTAACCAGCATGCCTGCTCCAGCCTACTGTCTACCCAGACATCAAGGACTGTAAGCCCAGATCCTGAGCATACTATAAAGCCTGCTTAAAACTCTTTAACAACTATCAACCACCTACCCCCTGGTGACAGACCTCTACCCTCTCTCACCAGCCTCCTCTGCCCTCTTCCAGTCACACTTTGGCTGCATTCTCTATTTAGTAACAATGTATTTGAGGAAAATCAAAGTATCTTCTTTGGGGAAAATATATGAGAGTAGTTCATATTTTTTCACAAGCCACATGTGGAAAAGCCTGGACTGCGAGGCTGTGCTTGAGTGTTGCTTTTCTTTATATCTGCAGAAGTTTCTAAACTGTTCTATTCAGTGATGGCCTGGCTCTCATTACAAAAGAGAACCACAGAGCAATTGGAGAGACCTAAATAATGAACCCAGTTGTCCTGCACGGGGCCTCTTCTTCCTCTGCGGAGAGGTCCAGGAAGTTAAAGTACCTCAGAGCTAGAGCTTTTCTAGAGTAACCTTCCAGGCTTGGCTGTTTTTCTCTTTCCTTTGCTCGGTGGTCCAGGGTGCCTGCTCAAGGCTGCTTATGAACTGTCTCAATTCCAATCCATACAATTTGGCCTTGGTGAGCATATAGTCACCAATGGATCCTGAAGGTTCTGAATAAAAAAAAAAAAATTGGATATAGAGATGAAATTGACAACTGCTCTCATTGGCTGAAGACAGAATTGGCTCAAATGGCAGAACACTAGCTTTGCCTGAGAGAAGGGTAGTGGGATCAATGCCTGCCTTCTCCAGTTTTGGGTAAACCACTTATGAGGCAGATTCAAAGCCAGGAATAACTGGGTATGTTAAGGGAGGTTGTTAAAACATTCATTTATTTCTGTTAGGTTGCTTACCATTCTACAGCACCCAAGACAGGATTACAGTGGTGGGGAACAAATCCAGAGCAAGTGATGACATTTAATGAGGAAAAAAAGAAGGCTGTGGAAAAAAATTCCTTGTGTAATTTATTTTATTCTCTGTAATCATAAAAGCTTTTAAGGATTAGAACTGAAACCTAAGTGGAGTCTTGACAGAGTCATATAAACTTTAAGCTGATATTTCTTTTTCATTATTTTCTGACTACATTATGCTCTGACTACATTTTTCTTTTTATTCAAAAAATGCATTTGAAAATATATATTAGTAGATTTACTTTGTTTTCCATATGCTATGGTCTGAATACTTCTGTCCCTCTAAAATTCATATGTTGAAAATATAATGATCAGGGCAATGGTATTAGGAGGCAGGGGCTTTGGGAGATGATTAGCTAATGAGGGCAGTGTCTTCATTAAAAAAAAAAACAAACCCAGAATACAACTGGTTTATTTTGCTATTTCACCTCTGGGAAGTTATTTTCAGTTCAGTTCAGTTGCTCAGTCATGTCCAACTCTTTGTGACCCCACGGACTGCAGCACGCCAAGCTTCCCTATCCATCACCAACTCCCAGAGCTTACTCAAACTCATGTCCATTGAGTTGGAGATGCCATCCAACCATCTCATCCTCTGTCATCCTCTTCTTCTCCCACCTTCAATCTTTCTCAGCATCAGGGTCTTTTCCAGTGAGTCAGTTCTTCGGATCAAGTGGCCAAAGTATTGGAGTTTCAGCTTCAATATCAGTCCTTCCAATGAATATTCAGAACTGATTTCCTTTAGGATGACTGGATCTCCTTGCAGTCCAAGGGGCTCTCAAGAGTCTTCTCCAGCACCACAGTTCAAAAGCATCAATTCTTCAGTGCTCAGCTTTCTTTATAGTCCAAGTCTCACTTCCATACATGACTACTGGAAAAACCACAGCTTTGACTAGATGGATCTTTGTTGGCAACTTAATGTCTCTGCTTTTTAATATGCTGTCTAGGTTGGTCATAACTTTTCTTCCAAAGAGCAAGGATCTTTTAATTTCATGGCTGCAGTCACCATCTGCACTAATTTTGGAGACCAGGAAAATAAAGTCTGTCACTGTTTCCATTGTTTCCCCATCTATTTGCCATGAAGTGATGTGAATGAATGCCATGATCTTAGTTTTCTGAATGTTGAGCTTTAAGCCAACTTTTTTCACTCCCCTTTTTCACTTTCATCAAGAGATTCTTTAGCTCTTCACTTTCTCCCATAAGGGTGGTGTCATCTGCATATCTGAGGTTATTGATTTTGCTCTCAGCAATCTTGATTCCAGCTTGTTCTTCATCCAGCCTGGCATTTCACATGATGCATTCTGCATATAAGTTAAATAAGCAGGTTGACAATATACAGCTTTGATGTACTCCTTTCCCAATTTGGAACCAATCTGTTGTTCCATGTCCAGTTCTAAATGTTGCTTCTTGAGCTGCATACAGATTTCTCAGGAGGCAGGTCAGATGGTCTGGTATTCCTATCTCTTTAAGAATTTTCCACAGTTTGCTGTGATCCACACAAAGGCTTTGGTGTAGTCAATAAGTCAGAAGTAGATGTTTTTCTGGAACTCTCTTGCTGACCCAATGGATGTTGGCAATTTGATCTCTGGTTCCTCTGCCTTTTCTAAATCCAGTTTTAACATCTGGAACTTCTCAGTTTGCATCCTGTTGAAGCCTGGCTTGGAAAATTTTGAGCATTGCTTTGCTAGCATGTGAGATGAGTGCAACTGTGCAGTAATTTGAGCATTCTTTGGGATTGGAATGAAAACTGACCTTTTCCAGTCCTGTGGCCACTGCTGAGATTTCCAAATTTGCTGGCATATTGAGTCCACCACTTTCACAGCATCATCTTTTAAGATTTGAAATAGCTCAACTGGAATTTCATAACATCTGCTAGCTTTATTCAATAGTGATGCTTCCTAATTCTCACTTGACTTCTCATTCCAGGATGTCTGGCTCTAGGTGAGTGATCACAATTTAGTGATTTCTAAGTACCTGCCAGAGGTTACCTGAAGAATGAAGGTTACAAGACCAAAGGTGGGGGTGGATGTTCTTTATCAGAAATCAGCTTACAAGACAAGGGGGCTTTCCTTGTGGCAATCCGCCTGCAGTGCGGGAGACCTGGGTTCGATCCCTGGGTTGGAAAGACCCCCTGGAGAAGGGAAAGACTATCCATTCGAGTCTCTGGCCTAGAGAATTCCATGGACAACAGTCCTTGGTGTCTCAAAGAGTCGGACACGACTAAGTGACTTTCATTTTACAATACAACGTGGGGGATAAAGAATTACAGAGGCTAGCCCACTGCAACACAACAAGGTCGTTGCTTGGTTCGAACAGTGCTAAGGGGCAGGTAAGAATAACCTCTATAGGATAAATTCAAACACATCAAAGATGGTGTAGTAGGAAAGGAGAGCGGAAAGCGTCTCAGAGATGCTGGCAAAACAGTGCTCCAGGTGAGGATCGAACTCACAACCTCGGCATCACCCGCACACATACTGCCATATAAGTACCGCGCGCTAACCGATTGCGCCACTGGAGCTCTCGCGTCTTGCTTCCGGTCACGCATTACACGGCGTATGCACCCCAGTCCCTGCATCTCCACCACCACCGTCTCCGAATCCTGCAGCTGCATCCTGAGCGGAAAAACAAAAGTTCAGCTGCAGACCCCACCCAGCCGCCAGTCCTGAAGGGCAGAGGGTGCTCTGCTAGCGGAAACGAGGGTGGATACTTTGAACACAACTGCGAAAAGTGCAGACACTCGGGAGACTCTGACTGTCTCGAGCATTCCGAGGAGGACATTCGAGGGGCTGAAAGGGCTGGCGAGCCTTCTGCTGCTGCGTGGGTCCCGGAGTCTTTCCATTTGCCTCTCTCCTGGATGCTTTTCCTTGCGGCGTCAGAAGAAGGTTTCCTGTCTGAGCCTGGGGAGGGGGCTTCTGAGCCTGAGCCGTTACAGGCTATCTCAGAGTGTGTGAGCATCCAGAATTCCTGTGGGCTTCCAGGGCACGTTTACTTAGTCCTCTTTAGTTAGGTGGCAATCTTATTTCACGAGTTGGAAGACAGTTTACCCCCAAGGTATACCTCTTGTTGAAAGTCTTTGACTTTTTAAAATGCAATATTTGGATAACTTAAGAATACAGTATTTGACTCTAAAATGTATCTGTATAATCAGTCAGCTGTGACCCAGTTGACTTTAAATGTTATGAATCCAAGTATATAGTTTCAAGCAATGATAACTCATTCTAGCCTGTGTGCTGCTAGATTTTAAAATTTGGCAAGAATACAAACCACTTGGTATGTAAATTTTTATACTGTCCTAAGATTCTTTAAAACTGTTTCATTTTACTTTAAGTTACTTTTCTTAATAAGCTAATAGGGATCTCCATGGAGCAATACTTAATATCAAATTTTAGTATGATGTTTAAAGATGGAGCAAAGGATTCAGATTTCCAGTAGTAACTATGATGATGGTTTGAAGTAGAATTTATACAGGGCTTCTTTTTTTTAAAGTACTTTTATATTTACTTTCTCAGTCTAGTTCTATAGCAGTCCTACAGAGGTAGATTTTTTATTGAAGTAATATATAAATGATATTCTCTAATCATTTACTGAGACTAAAAAAGAATAAGTATAAATGAACAAAACAGTCAATCTCTTGTGGAGTTTATATGTAAGAAACCCAGAAAAGTCATACAATTTAAAAAATGTATTAATGAATACACTTGAATATAATAGAGAGCAGACAGGATTTTCACTCATATGAGCAGATTGTTTACTAAAGAAAAAGAAATTAGCTTCTAGCCCTTTAGGTGACTGAGATGTCAAATTTGTAAACTTATGGAAATTTTCAAACATAATGAAGTTGACATAATTAGGTAATGTAATTGATTACATGTAATTGATTTTACAGTCATCAACATTTTACTAATCTTGTTCCCTCTATCTTTCCACTACCATTTTTGTTGGGGGGTCAGGGGTAGGTGATTGAAGGTGGGAGTGGAAGTATTTTAAAGTAAAACCTAGACATATCGTCTCACCCTAACTTCTTCAGTCTGTACGTCTTCGAGATAAGAATTCTTTTTATTTTATTCCACTTTTCCTTTTTTTAATGTATGTGCAATATCTTTATCACATTCAGCAACTTTGGCAGTAATCTCTTACTAAAAGAAGTGACTTGGCCAAAAAGTAAGTGGCAAAACTAAGGTTTGAATCCAGGTTCTCTGCCCTTGGGGCTTCCCTGGTGGCTAAGATGGTAAAGAATCTGCCTATAATATGGGAGACCTGGGTTTGATCCCGTGTTACCCACTCCAGTATTCTTGCTGGGGAATTCCATGGACAGAAAAGCCTGGTGGACTATAGTCCATGCTGTCAGGAAAAGTTGAATACAACTAAGCCATTAATACTTTTCTCTGGCTCTAGCTTCTCATACTTGATTCCTTTTCCAAGCCATTTTAAACAAAGAGTTGTCTTCTTTGAGGGAGTGTGTGCCTTCAAGTGAATGTGGAGTAATTAACAATTTTTTAAAATATTTAGACTGAGAGGTTGTCTATAAGGGAGAGAGTAAATGACAACTGTTTAGAGTAAACAATTTACTTGATAAATATATTTATAGTTTCTCTTTACTCCTTTTCTGACATTAACAGAAATCTGTTTACCTATCTTCTGGGGTCAGTTCAAAGCTCAGGATAAAATATGGCACTCTTCTCAATGGGGCCTTCTACCAACCTTGAGATTTAAAGATATTGTCTTGCAATAACTACTTTTCCTAGATCTCAGGGCTGGATTTCCACATGCATATGACTGTCTAAAGCAATCTTCACTTTGTTTCCTCTGATTTCATGAATAATCCTTCTTTTTTCAACCAATAGCATTATCATGCTATCTGCTTTTAATAGTTCTACTGACTGACACATAAACCTACAATTCTAGGCTGGAAATATATTACTGTTGCACACTCTAACATCCTAGTTTATTCTAGAAATATGTAGCATACATACAACAAAAATTCAACTGAGAGAAACTGACAGATATACCAACCCCCTGTCCTAAAGATGATCCTTTTGTTCCTAGATTAGTCATTCATTCAATAAATATTTACTTAACACCTGCCTTGTACCAGAATCCATAAGTGAATAGAATAGACAAAATCGCTGCCTTCCCAGAGCTTACATTTAAGAAAATTTTAAACAGAGGTTCTTAGCAGCCCTCTGTTTTGTCTTTCATGTATCCATTTATTTGTTAATCCGTTTATCAAAAAACACACGTGTCCATCATTGCCAAGTGGTATGTTAGACAACAAGGTTGAGATCAGAAAGTATTGCATGTCTTAATATTATTCGGGTGAAGGAATTGAAGGGTGTAGTGTGAACCACTGTACCCTTAACACAAAACTGGTTTCCACTTACATCTTTCAGTTATTTCCCTGATTATCCTATTTTCTATGAAGCATTCTTTAATCTTGTGCAGAGATATAGTGTTCCTGCCTATTCCATATTAGAAGTCAGAACTAAGGGCATAAGCCATAACTTCTGAGGCACACGTGTACCAAAGAAAACCAAGACATTGCTGGGTGGAGGGGGTGGGAAATGACATATTAAAAAAAAAAAAAACAGGGCCAGTAGGATAGGATCTCACATTTTTGTTGGGATGTAGAGTTCACATACTTATGATGTCACTAAACATTTCTGCCAATGAGGAGACAGGAAGGGACCACAAGGTTCTACTCTTGAAGAGAAGGCTAGGATGGGCCTCAGTGTTAAAAAGTACTATAGAAAACAAAATGTAATCAAAAGATGAAAACTGAAACAGAAATATTAAAAGAAGAAATAAGAGAAAAGGTAACCTCAGATCTTTAACAGTAAGAGAAGGGAAAGGGGCTGTGATTTGAGGGGAGTGATGATGGAGGGCAATGTTGAGACTGCAGAGCATAGGAAAATTTTTACTTCCCTTGACATCACTAGGAAATGTATTTGGTGTGCACATTTTTTTTTTCCTTTCTGTTAACAGATATTCACTGAGATCCTCCTACATGTAAAGCACTATGCTAAACATGATGGGAAATTAAGAATTCGGGGCTGTGGTTCTCCAGGGACTTCTAGTGTAGGTGGTGAGACACAATACCCAGACACCCAGGGAAAGCAGAGTAACAAAACAGAGTTGTAGATGGTTGTGTCCAAGTGGTTTAGACATGATATGTAGAAAAAAGGAGAAAGATGTCAGTTCTTGCTGATGAGGGACATAGGGTCAGTCTGTGACCTGGGGAGGATTTGGTTAAGAGATGAGAAGGGGAGCTCTGCAAGCCTGAATATGAAAGGCAAGGAGGTTGGACTTATATGGGCTTGTATGGGTGTTTCAGAATGGAGAGAAATCCCACAGTAACTGAGGGCATCTGACTCATTCGCCTCCCCCTGCCCTTTTTTTCAGTCAGCACCCTTTTGTGTGAAATGTGGGATAGTTAAACCATACCGAGTTCTTATCCTCATCTGCAGTTTCACTGGTTCTGCCCTTCTGTGGTGGGCCTTGAACCTCTCAACCTGGGTGAAGATAGAAAACTCACACCAATCCTTCTTCAGTGCTCTCTTTGCAATATGCAGTGGTGAGATCAAATGTTGGGCTCTACCATCAAAATCAAGTAAGTTCTGGCCTTGAAAGGGAGGGCCCTGCTTCCACCCTGTCCCTTCCCAGAATTTTCAACCTCCTTTCCTGCCCCAGCATACCTGAAGGAAGCAATTATAAGCCCACCAGTAACACTGGCTACCAGGCCTCTCAAGGGATACCAGCCCAGCTAGAATCACTATTTTAGATCTTTTGGCAGCATACTTCTCCCTCCATCCCTATGCTTCCCACCATGTGCCATTGGTTCCTACCTTAAAGTCTCTGCACTGCTTCTTTAGTGTTCTGGGGATTCAGACTCAGAAGGAAGGGGGCCCTAGAGGGAGCTCCTGGCCTTTCTCCCCTCTCCCTCCCTAATTCAGACTACTACATATTTGGTCAAATTTTCATGATCAGCGCCCTTCTTCTCTCCTTCTTCCTGAGCTTTATACTCCTGGCCTTCCCGCATTCCCTTCCTGATACCCGGAAACAGTACTTCATCTTCACAACCACCTTCTTCATCATAGGTAAGGGATGAAACAAAGAGGACTCCTTCAGTCATTCTGGTTCTGGGCTGGGGTGGTGCTCCATTGGGCATAACCTCTTAGAAACTGTTGAGGGACTGTTAAGGGCAAAGGTAATACAATGACAACAAGTGTAATGACAACAAAAGGAAAAAATGACAAAAGGAAAGAAATAGAGAGTATGGGGAGTTAAAGCAACAACTTAAGTCTTGGAAATTAGTCCTAAGGCCACAGATTAGGCTAACCAGATGGGTTGTTGTCCCTCCCCCCTTCCTTTTTTTTCTGCAGGTATCTGTGTGTTCCTTGCACTACTACTGCATTATCTGTATATTTTGAAAACAACTAACCTTTATAAGGACATGAAAATCACCTTTCTCTACCCCTCGTTCCTCCTTATATTCAGCACCATACTGTTTTTCTTATCTGGTGAGTGTTCTTAGGGCTTAGGGAGTTTGTGGGGGTAGGTACTGAATTCAGAACAATTCTATTTATGGGTTTCAAGTATTTCCTTTGAGTACTGCTAATTTTCGGACATGGATTTGGTGCAATGGTATCCCATTTGCTCATTGCAGCTCCTCCTGCTCTACAGTGTTAGAATGTTGCCTTTATAGAAGACATAGAATCCATTTCTCCCCTATACTGTAAGAACCGTGTCTTGGAGATGGAGAGAGAAATTATAAGAAAGATTGTAGTAGAGTGAAGGGGGGGTGGGGTGAAGATTGGTGTTGACAGATTGGTACTTTAGGTCCTAGACCATACTGTCATTTGCTAATCCTGTTTAAAAACTAAATTTCATAGTAAATATCAAGTAATAGTCATTTTCATCTTCAACATGATCACTCTTTCCTCAGGATTTCTCTGCTTGTGCAGCACCCATCATTGTTGGCTCCAGTGTGTCTTAATGCAACCAATCCAAGTGAAACCCATGCAAATATCAGTGGACAATGGGAACTCAGTCACAGAAGGGATACCGGGGAGAGATGGCTAGCCTAACGTCAGTGATGGTGAGAAGGCTAATTTCTGAAGAAAAATCATGTCTACCCTGTAACTCAAGACTTCACAGCTATGCACACACTCTTGTTTAATTACTAAGACTAGAAAGAATTGACTTGTTACTAATCATTATTCAGATATGGATTAAGATTCCAGGAACTCAGGTCTTTCACTAAAGAGAAGACACAGTTGGGATGTGGGGATGGCTGAGCATGTTTGGCTCTGGGGACTTGAAGCGAAAAAACTTCTCCTCACCTTGAAGATTCCCTAGGCACCCACCTCCCAACCCTCTCACTGGTATTCCTGGTCTCCTGGAAATAGATTTTTGTTTTTAAACAGTAACAAAACTCTTTCTCCTGTGAAGCCTTAGTTTTGATAAAAAAAAAAAATTTTTTCCCCTGAGGAATTTTATGAGTGGAATCTTGTAACTACTGTATTGTTCAGGCCTTTTGTATTGTTCAGGCCTATATGTTGTTGCATATAACAAAACCTTATCCAAACTACCTCAACAACAACATAAAATGAATATATTGAAAAAGATGCAGGGGTAGCTCATAGATGCACAGAAAGTTCTAATATAACTAGGGTTACATGAGAGATGTTGGGGACTGGAATTGGAACTCATTTCCTTCAAGATACTTTTTCCCCCACTGTTTATTAAAGGTTAAAGGAATTTCCTGATCTATAAATAGTAAAGTCCACAGATCCACTATCCCCAATTCCATTTGTTCATCACTTTCAATGAATTATCAAAGCCTGTTGCTTCCACCTCAACCAAACCTCCATTCCCCTCTGTGAGCTCTCCTCACACCTAGTTATCTGGACCAGGCCTTTGTTATTCCTGCCCAGACCATGGTGTGTCTACACTAGGCGTCTCCCCGCACTTCGGTCTACCTCTACAAGTACTGCCCAATTTGATCTTCCTCAAACACAGAGCTGAGAATGTTCTTCTTGAAGACCTATTTCGCCTTCTTCTGTCTTCAGGATAAATTTCTTATCTTGATTATCTTGATTTTAAATAAAGGTATTTACAAATTGGCACCAACCTATCTTTTGGAATGTTTTAATTTTTTTATTGTGATGCATCTCAAACATGTCACATAAGCAAAATATATCAAAATATTTACAGTTGGAAGGATAAGAAATGAACCACCATATCTAGAAAAAAATAATATTGCCGGTATATTAGAAGCCTCTAATGCGCCCCAACAAGCTGTTTTTACAGCCACTTGTCCTGATCCTCCAGTTCCTCTTCCTTATGCCAATTAAAACTGTAGTTCTACCTCAAGAAACTGCTTTCCTCCAACAGACCTTTTGTAACTTCTCCTCATACAAATACTGAATACTCTGGCTTTTTATTTCCTCCTTCTTTACAAGGTCAAATTTGTTTCTTCTTCAAGATTAAAGCCAAATGTGATAGCAAGAAAAACTTCTCCTGACTTCCCTTCCAGAGTTAATTGCTGGACTTCCATTCTGCTGGGAAATCCCTGGTGGCTCAGTAAAGAAACTGCCAGTGATACAGGAGACCCAGGTTCCATCCCTGGATTGGGAGAATCCCCTTGAGGAAGAAACGGCAACCCACTCCAGTGTTTTTGCCTGGAGAATCCCATGGACAGAGGAGCCTGGTGGGCAACAGTGCTTAGGATCACAAAGAGTTGAACACACAGTGTGATGAACACTTTCAGGCTGCTGGCACATTTTCCTTTTTATTTCTGGAGTAGCACTTCTCCTGTTGTAATTATGAATTTAGATATGTCTCTCTGACTTGATGTTAGTTCTTTGAGGAATTCAGATTATTCTTTACCTTTGAATCCTCCACCTTCACATTCTGCTGTAAATGAATATTCAGTAAATGCCTTTGGAGTTATTAAGCTTTAGAATATTGGGAACAGTTGGACATTACTATTACGGACTGTTACTTTTTATTGACAGCCTAAATAGTTAACAGGACTTGACCTGCTTTATGTAATTTAACCTCACCACAAACCTGCAAAGTAAGTATCATCTCCATTTTGTAGATAAAGTAATGGGGTGACTGAAAAGTTAAATGATTGGTCCAAATTCACACATTCTAGTAAAGGGCAGAGTCTCTTTCTAAAGCTGCTCTCATTTTTCCATATCAAGTTTCTTCTACATGAACAGTGATAAGAATAGAGAATAATAAGAACCTGCCGTGTAGCACAGAGAATTCTTCTCAGTACTCTCTAATGGACTATATTGGAAAAGCATCTTTAAAAAAAAAAAGTAGATTTTTTTACATGTGTAACATTCATTTTGCTGTACACCCAAAACAAACACAACATTGTAAATCAATAAAAACTAAATACTCCAATAAAAATTAAAAAGAAAAAACTTTAAACATACAAAAAAATAGTAAATTTTAAGACAGAAAGTGTTCAACTATGCTTATGCTGGAAAGGAACAGATGGTGATGAAGAAATAAATTTAAAATGTCACCTGTTAAAGAAGCTACAAAAATAAACCTGGGGATCAGTGAGTGTAATATCTTTTATAGACAAATTTAGGTAGCATAAATTACTGATTTCCAGAGTTAGGAATTTAAGACTCCTGCCCTGCTCTGGAGCTGTTTAAGGTTGAGCTTCAGATCTCTACACTATTATACACTTGTTAGCCTCTGACACTTTAAATTCAAAAACTGTAGTGTCATTTTACTATGCAGTCATGTTAAGATCTGTGATGTATGGCATTATTAATAACCACACTTATACAATTCTGATTTTTAAGTCAATATGTCATCATGAGAGACTCTTGAGAGTCCCTTGGACTATAAAGAGATCAGACCAGTCAATCCTAAAGGAAATAAACCCTAAACATTTATTGGAAGGATTGATGCTGAAGCTGAAGCTCCAATACTTTGGCCACTAGATGTGAAGAGCCAACTCATTGGAAAAGACCTTTATGCTGGGAAAGATTGAAGGAAAAAGAAGAGGGCTGTGGAGGGTGAGATGGTTAGATAGCATCAGCGATTCAAAGGACATGATCTTGAACAAACTCCAGGTAATAATGAAGGACAGGGAAGCCTGGCATGCTGCAGTCCATGGGGGTCACAGAGTCAGACATGACTTAGCAACTGAACAACAACATGTAATCATGTACAATTAATGTACTTGTTCTAAATACAAATACTAAATATAAGCTGTATATCAGATGCTTTTTGTAATGGTTAGCTCTGGAAATTTAGATCTAATGTTGACACTGACAATAGTGGACTTGGCAGCAACAAGGGTTCAGTTAGTCCTTCCCCAAGAGGGTGTTAAAGTATTAGGTAAAAAAAAAAAAAAAGAAAAGAAACCTTGCTGTGCAAGTAAGGTGTGAAAGAAAATCACAGAAGCGTGGGAGAGAGAGTGAAAGGCGGGAGTCTCCAGTCAGCAGTTCGGACAGGACCCGCAGTTTGCCTTGATCTCCTGGGTTTTGGTACCAAATGATCTCAGAGGGATAGCAATGAGCAGTCCTGAAAAGAGATCTTAGTTTCCTGCCCAGAAATTAAACCTGGGGAACCTAGATGAAAATTGAAAGTTCTAGCCACTAGACCATTGGGGGCTAGAAGTTAGAAGCAAAGTGGCCCTGGCTATTGACCCTGTTTGAAAGCAAGAGTATTTCAAGGAGGCAAAAACTGTAAAAACAGGTCCAAAGTTTATTATTAGAGACACAGCACAATGTATGGGAGAGCACACAGGAAAACAGCTTCTACCTAACTAGCTTAGATAGAAGACTAACTAACAGATAGAAAACTAGCTTCTATCTAACTCAGAAGCTAGGCAGAGATACACACCCGGAGAGGAGTGCAGGCGTCCTGAGCACAGAGGAGCTCAGTAAGGAGGTGATGTAAACCACTTATATAGGACAGTCCTTCTGAGCCTTTGTTACCCGTGGCCAATTATCTTGCTCCTTTCTTCACATCTGACTGGTCCATGGATCCTCTCCAAGATGTGTGCGCAACATTTTTCTAAGATTGATCCCACCGCAGAGGCCTATGAGTGTGTGTCCACACTTGTTATGAAATGGGGCCTGCTCCCTTTTCGACCCCCAAGAAGCCCTTCCTGCATGTGTATAGACAAGGAAGTCTTCCTTGACCTTAGGAGTGGGCAGCTTATCTCTTGAGCAGAGCTCAACTTTTAGTTTTGTCCTTGGAGTGTCTGGGTGAGAACAAAGGCTTCATTTTACTCCATTTCACAAACACCAAGTGTCTGGCCCAGAGGCCCACTGTCTCCTACCTCAATGTGAGTTAATAAGATAAGGAATGGAGGTCTTGAACATGCTAAAAAAAATGCTTACTTCATTTTATTTCAAATATGGGGATGGTGTAGGGTACAGCAACATTGCTTGTTAGTTCCACCACCAGTCACCAACAGCAGAGCCCCTATTCTCTTCTCGAACAGAAACATGACTTTGTTCACATAACCTTTTCTATGCTGCCTTGGCTTTGCAGGAGGTTATGATTGCTCTAACTGATCACAGTGGTCACGTTCTTGGCAGTACTTGGATTAGGTAAGAACATGTGATACAAATCTAGCCATTGTGAGGGGGAAATCCACTAAGGAATATATAAGAGAAGTTGTTCTCAACAAGAGATACAATCAAGTCTGTCTATTTTCCTGGAGTTTATCTTGATATTGTGAGAGCCAGAGGTACTACAAGGAAACCAGCTGGTATAGAAGATCCATATAGTGAGAATGACAGAATACAAAGACTCATTCAAAAAATTCATTCATTCAAAAAATTCAAAAAATTTTGAATTCATTCAAAAAATCTTGGTTCTGAATAACAGCATAGAGTCACTGAATTAATGAAGCTCATAGCCTCCCTACCTTCTTGACTTGTCATGTATGATAGTAAATCCATTGTAAGTCAGTTGAATGCTGTCGTTCGAATAATTGTAGAGCTATTACTGAAAGTGTCCTTTGTTGGGGAGGAATCTTTGGGCTAGATGTCTTATAGTTCTGTAAGAATTGTAAGTCCTCCTGATAGCTGGCATTATGAAAAACTCAAAACAAGCTACATAAGTGGTATTAAAAAATATTGGTCTGGTGTGCCCTTGGTTCACTAAGTTTTTTCATTGCTATCAGCAGACTCAGCATTCTCTTCACTTAGAAGGCCTACTTCTCAGCCACTAACTCCAGCCCAGCCCTACTGTCTGATTACCGCTGGCTTCAGACTTAATGGACATATGCCCAGCCTCCACCCCTGAGTACAGAAACAGCCACCATGAGCCTCTTTCAAAGTATATTCAGGAAACTAGAATTCTCCTCTTGTACATAGCATGCCTTTGCTCTTCCACTAAAACATCTGGATTGAGATAGCATGGAATCACAGACTTATGATGCCTACCTGTACCATAAACTGTCTTCCTGATGCTTACAGGCATTTTTCTCAACTCTTCATTCATGCATGCAGACTTTTAATGTAAAATTAGTCATTGTAAATACGGAGCATGCTGGCCTTAAGAATATAAAATTGAGTGGGGAGGACCACTGAGCAAACAGCTGTTCACAACAGTGTGATAAATGCTGAAAAGAGGGGTGTGCTCTGCACCCTAGACGTACAAGGAAAGAACACCATCCAAATGGGGGAAGAATTAAGAACTCGATTAGGTTTGCGAGTATTTCTGTTATTTTATTTGTTTATTCTGGTCCCTGTTTCATGGTTTCCTTCCGTTCTCATTAGCAAAATCTTAAGAATTCCATCATTTGCTCCTCCCAGGCCCTTCACCACGAGGTCAAGGACTTTAGGCTGGCAGGTTATTGCTATAATGAGGCTTCAAAGTAGACTGTAAATCTTTATGTCCTCTCATCTGGGAAAGTAGAGGGCAGACAACTCAAAAGAAGAGCAAGTGTACTTCTTAAAGGCTAATTAATAATGGTTTAAAAAGTATCCATAACCACTAGGGCCAGTGGCGCAATGGATAACGCATCTGACTACGGATCAGAAGATTCCAGGTTCGACTCCTGGCTGGCTCGAGGTCACTTCTTCTCTCTTTAGGGGGATGGTAGGGTGGTGTCTTGCTTACATCCCACTCTTAAAACC